GAAGCTGAAACTAGCTTAAGCAGCCAACTTAGGACCACAAACATCATCGCTTAAAACAACACAAATTTATTACCTTATGGTTCTCTAGTTAGAACTCCAACACAGGTCTCACTGGACTAAAGTCAAGGTGTCAGCAGGGTGTGTTCCTTCCTGGACACCCTAGGAGAGAATATTTTCTTATCTTTTCTAGTTTCCATATGCCACCCACATTCCTTGGCTCATGGCTCTGTTCTCCATCTTCAAAGCCAGTAGTATAGCATCTTTCTGACCCTCACCCACTTCTTCTGCCTCCAGATGATAATTTTATGTGTCAACTTGACTGGACTAGGGGATGCCCAGATGGCTGGTAGAACATTATTCTGGGTGTGTCTTGAGAGTTTCTGGTAGAGATTAGCATTTGAACTGACAAACTGGGTAAAGAAGATCACCCTCCCCAATGCAGATGGGCATCATCTATCCTCATGAAAGCCCGAATGGAACAAAAAGGCAAGGGGGGCAAATTTGCTCTCTGCTTGAGCTAGGACATTCATATTGTGCCCTTGGAGATTGGCACTCCTGATTCTCTGGCTTTGGACTCAGATCAGGACATACACCATTGGCCCCCTGATTTTCAGGCCATTAGACTTCTCAGCCTCCATAACCATATGAACCAACCCCCATAATAAATCTCTATGTGTGTATATATACATATACATACATACACAAATATACATATACATACGTACACAATACCCACATACATCTACATATCTGCATATTATCTATCTATCTATCTATCTATCTATCTATCTATCTATCTATCTACCTACCTATCTCCTGTTAGTTCTGCTTCTCTGGAGAGCCCTAATATACTCCGTCTTCCATTTGGAAACATTCCAGTGATTACACTGGGTCCACCTGGATAATCCAGGATAGTCTCCCTATTTTAAAGTCAGCTGATTAGCAACCTTAATCCCCCTTTGCCACGTAACCTAACGTATTCACAGTTTCCAGGATTTAAGGCGTGTATATCTTTGGGGAGCCATTATTCTGCCTACCACACTCCAGGTGTTTCATGGAGACCTCGGCCAAGAATGTGGCTAGGGCTAGAGAACAGGAAGGGTTTGCAATGAGGAAATAGTTGGGCATCTCCTTCATTTTCCTCCTTCTCTCTGTAGACTTGCTCTCTGCTCCTCAGTCCACTTGGAAGAACAAAACCAGCCCCAGGTTTTGCCCTTACCGGTTTCAGACACAGGAGAAGAATCTTTCATTTCTAAATCTCTTGAGAGTCTGATTGGTCCAGTTTCAATCAGGTAAACCCTCCTTCCTCTCTCCAATTAGTTAGGGTCATTGAGTATAAATATGGCTGCCACCGGTGTGGGTGAGAGGGCACTTCCCAGAGACAGGGGGCGGGGTGGTTGTTAGCTCAAGGGCTGAGCAGACACAACACTGAAGCTTTAGGTGATGAAGCCACTCTGCCAAGGAGGGAGAAAAGGACACGTGTGAGCCCCAAATAGACAAACGCCTGCCCTCTGTTTTTCCTGACCTCTTTACCAATGCCTCCCGGTGGACACACTCAGATTAGATTGGAGCCAGGCCTGGTCTGCCCCTCATCAGGACTTGTTTCACAAGCTTTGGTGGTTTTGTACAATCCTCCTTGGTTTGTGCTTGTTTGCATATTGTTTTTGTGATTAAGACCTTGGAAATCAGTGTATAAACTACTTTTACAGATGAAATTGCAGAAGTATTAGAAAACTGCAATTTAAAACAATCTGTTTTTGTAAATGGCGGCCTTGCGTTTGTTTCATAGACATTTCTACCCAAGATTTTCTAACATGAGGCACATCTTTGTTGAAATGCAGTACTGTGCTGGCAGGCAGGGGGCCTGTGGCGCTGACAGTGGATCTCAGTGGGAATGGGCCACACGGGCTTCTGACTCCCCAGGCCTTTGGTGGCCTCTGCAAGGCCTGGGCCTCCAGCGAGGCAGCAATGGGCAGAAGTCACGGTGTCTGGTAAGCTGGGCTCTGCCATAAATGGGCAAACCAGAGACACAGTGCTAGAGCTTATGACCCAGCAAAGTTTCAGACAACAAAAATTCAATTATAATCCTATTAAACACTCTGCGGGGGAAAGCACAGGTACCATGACATTTAAAGGAACCTGAGCAAGTCTGGGATCGGGACCATCTGGCCAGAGAATGACCCGAGCTGAGATCTGTAGGAAGGGGAAGCTTATGGCAGGGTTACGAGATTGCAGGGAAGAATGTTCCAAGTGGAGATAACTGGATGGACATAGGGCTTGGGTGCGAAGATGCTTGAAGAGTCCAAGGACATGAGAAAAACCAGTGAGCCAGGGCGAAGTGGGCCAGGCCAGACCACACAGAGCCTCACACACGGGCTTTGTGAAGGAGTTGGGAAATCACTGGATGACTGAAAACAATCTTTATAAGATCCTTTGGCTCTGTATGAAGACTGCAGAGGTGTTAAGAGTGTAAAGGATAAAGGACTCTCACCAGCTCGAATACCAGGTATAAACCCCTCCCCCTTGGGAGAAAATGTTGAAGACAGGCCTTTTGGGAATCACAGGAGACACGAATCACCGTTGGGTCCCACCCCACCCACCTGGAGTGCAGTCACCTCTGTGGTTCACATTTGCTCACCTTCCGAGTGATTCATTCACTGACAAGAGGGTGGCGTGTCTAAATAGGCAGGCCTGAGATTTTTCTTTAGCACAATCGTTGCTCAGTTAACCCTACCCTTCACCATCTGTGCTGGAAATGATCAAGATGACTTGGGTGTGATGAAACTCTGAGGTGGCCGGTATTCCTGAGTGCCCTTTCCTGCCCTGTATTACAGCCAAGCATCATAGTGCGGGAAGCTGGCTTCTCACACACATCACCATGTTGCTGCCAGGCACGTGAGGTGAGGCAGGAGTGAGAATGTGGGGGGATTCACGAAGACCACTCAGGCAGTTCAGAACAGCACAGACAGTGGATCTGGGAGGACAGCCAGAGGGCTGAAAGCTAACAGCATGGACAGAGTTAGAAGGACACTAGGATGGAAACAGGAAGCCAAGCCAGGCAGGGAAGAGGGCAATAAAAAAAAGTTTATTTGAGGGAGGGGGAGGGGCACAGAGGGAGAGAGAATCCCAAGTAGGTTTCATGTTGTCAGCACAGATCCCATGAGCCATGAGATCAGGACCTGAGCCGAAATCAAGAGTCAGACGCTTAACTGACTGAACCACTCAGGCGCCCCGAAAAGGGCATCTCTAGGAGGCCCAGACTAACAGGAGGAAGGCGTTTAGCTCCATTGAGAGAAACAGGCAGGGTGCTCTGATGGCCTCAGCAGTGTGCTGGATCTTTGGGGTGCAAACAAAGTAAGATGCTCGCCAGTTAATTCAGAAATTCAACCAATATTTAATGAAATGCCGGGTATTCTGCCCTGAGGATATCAATGTAAAAAAGACAGTCCTAAAGTCTATCGTGACAACAGAGCAGGAAGAATCAGTATGGGAGTGAAACAGTAAAGGAGCAGGAAAGAGGGAAACCTACAGCCACCTGGAGGTCAAGACTCCTGGGAAGCCGTAAGGAGGTGGAGACCTGAAAGATGAACAGAATTAGCCCCATGATGGGGGGTGGGGAGGGGTACCATCCCTTCATGCCAGCGTGAAGGCCTAAAGGCGAAAGCTAAGGCACAGCTGGGGAGCAAGGAAGGAGGGAGCCTGGGAGCCAAAGACTATGATGAAGGGTTTGCCAAACCACAGTTCAGCTTGGGCTCTATCCGGAGGGCCGGTCACAGCTAGACCGCTAACTCCCTGAAAGCCAGGGTCTCCACGGCAACCGCACCATGATTGTCACATAACACATAACACAGTGATGGTTCATGACTCCACGAATAGATGGAGGCCAATGGGGAGCTGTTGAGAGGTTTCCATACTTTTTAATGGTTCCTAAAAATCGAAATGTCTACTAATCATACCAATCTTTGGTTTTACATTAGAGAAAAATGACAACTTGCAGTTGCTAGTCAGGCTATTGTACCTACTAAAAGAGCAGCCAAAATAGAAACACAATGAGATGTTTGTCTGTTTTGGAAAGGGGCCTGGAAAGGGGAGAAGCAGCAGGTGGAAGGGAAATCCTGATGACTCCACCTCTTGACCCAGGGCTGGGATTCTTTTCCCTCTGCTGAGAATAAAAAGTTGTGCGGGACAACATTTGATGATGTTTTGGTTTCCTATTAAATTCCACTCCTCATAAGGGAGCTCTTGTATCTCAGATGATTCGAGTAAGATGTATCGAAGATGTTAGAGACTGTGACTGTAATCCGTGTGGCTGGAAGGACAGGACCATCACCCTGCGAGACGGTGCTCTGTGGGCCTCGTGATTCTGTGCCATCTCATGAGCAAGGCACCAAATGCCCTTCATTCCAGACCATCTTTTCAATGATGTCTGCATAGCAAACAGCCTTACAAAAGAGACCGTATCGTCCTCTGGAGCGGGAGGCAAGCATGCTGACTACTGCCTGTTAGAGAAGACCTGTGTTTCCTCAGCTCAGGGCTCTTCCCCTGTAATACAGCCCACCCCATGTGTACTCTTTTGTTTAGGCCCACACGCAAAATCGCAGATCTTGACACACCCTTCTTAGAAACGGTTTACTGCTACATCTCAACATTCTTGTTCTTTCCTGAATTTACCTAAACAATGTGGCCACTTTTACTGCTAATTATAACACAGTTCCTGTTTTTAAAAGACTGTAATACCTAAAAGGCTCTTTTATACACTTCCAACAGATATCTTCTAAAGGGGTAGTAGGTCTAAGATAAGTGAATGGCAAAAATCTACAAAGAAAACAAACAAAAAATCAAGAAACTGAACACAGAAGAAATAATCTGAAGAGAAGCTGTTTTTATAAAACAAATAATTATTTCAAATCCATTATATTCAATGAATGGCAGTGCATTCTATCTGAAATAAACAAGAACAATTAAAACAGTACAGGATTTTTTTTTTTTTAAAGGGACCACTAAACCAAGATTTCTATCTCTGTATGGAACTGATTTTCAAAGGGACAGAAGTGGTCTTTGATCTTTCTGAACCATTTGTCTTCAAATTCTTTCGAAGATGCAATCACCAAGGCAGTCAGGGCTGTAGGGCCAACACACTTCACCTCTGTGTGAACCTCATCTTTTATTTTTTCTGGGACGATATCTTCTCCCATAACCTGTAGCAGGAGGGAAAAAAAAACAAAAACTTGTCCCAATAAAAGGGGCAGCGTGCGCAGAATGGAAGACTATGCTATCCATCAAGAGTAAAGGATTTCATACCAAAAAAAGCAGAATACTTTAGCAGCCAGGAGACAATTCCAACAATTCCAACATATTGAAAAGCTGTTTGTTTAGAAGTAGCGATCCAAGGACCACATGTGTAAAATACCCTGTATTTCTCCTCTTGTCTTCCCGAGTGAACAAATCACTGAACTACTGATGTGGCAGCTATCAGCCTAGAGAGAGCGCCCGGTCAACCTTCTTAAATCAAAGAGCATCTTCTGTTGGCAAGACCACATCTGCAAGTCCTTCTCCCTCACTGTAAAATAACCAGAAAACAGAGCTGGGGCAGAATACAGCTGCTGGGGGTGGGGTGAGGGCACAGGCTCTTCCTCTTAGAAGTTGTCCAAAAAAGTCAAAGACTGTGAACAGTCGAGTAGCAAGCAGCTGGGCCTACCCTTTCCTGACCCAGAAAGACTCAACCGTCTGGAATTGTTGCAAATGCCCTCTGAAGGCACAATACTGCTCCCTACTGGTCAGAGTCAGGCCCAGATCTGGTGTTCGCTTCTCCGGTAAGACAAGCAAAAGTTGTGGAAAGCCGGCACCTGAACCCACTAAGTGATCAGCCCATCTTCAGTAAGCACAGTGAACTAAAATTAAGTCCCAATACATTTCATACCACTGGCATGACAGGCTGGGGAGCCACCTGGCAGGGATGCTACAGAAGGAATTTAAGCCACTTGGGATTTGGACTAGATGATGACTAAGTTTCCTGTAAACCCTGAGATCCAGTGTGTTGATGAATACGCAAATTATAATGGATCAGAAGCACATTCAAAGAATCGTTTCCTCTGGCTTTAAATCTTCAAGCGCTACTTATTATTTGAGGCAAGAGCTAATGAGATGAACAGCTTAACCAGGCAACTGTCCACACTTATTAAAGCATGATATTTTCATTCATTCTAAGACAATTTCTGTTTTTGTATTTTAACATTTCTGACATCAAGAGGTATCTTGTAACACAGGTGTATCATAGTATAAGCGGCATCCTGCTTTTCTTTTGGTGACCCGTCAACGATGTGGCTTACAATTGGTGACTTCTTGGACTCAATGAAACGTAGAACTTTAAAATCTGGGATATAACACCAAACATCTTTTTTTTTTTTAATTAAAAAAAAAGAGATTTGAATAATAGTAATACCCAAATGTGCAATATTCCAAAAAAAGGCATTAGCAGGTACATCATTCACAGGTTCAAAATATCTGCAAAAATATTTGCCCAGGCGCGCCTGGGTGGCTCAGTCGGTTAAGCGTCCGACTTCAGCTCAGGTCACGATCTTGCGGTCCGTGAGTTCGAGCCCCTGGGCTGATGGCTCAGAGCCTGGAGCCTGCTTCCGATTCTGCGTCTCCCTCTCTGCCCCTCCCCCATTCATGCTCTGTCTCTCTCTGTCTCAAAAATAAATAAACGTTAAAAAAAAAATTAAAAAAAAATATTTGACCATAGAAAAAAATTTAAACTTCTATATACCAGAAAAACATCATACACTTCAGAAAATACTGCAAAAGGGGCACCTGGGTGGCACAGTCAGTTAAGCATCTGACTCTTGATTTCAGCTCAGGTTGTGATCTCATGATTCATGGGACCAAGCCCTGCTCTGGGGTTTGTGCAGAGCCTGCTTGGGATTCTCTCTCCCTCTCTGTCCCTCCCCTACTCATATGCTCTCTCTCAAAATAAATAAATAAACACTAAAAAAGAAAAGAAAATACTGCAACATATAAAATGTTAGTAAGCCTAGGATAGAGAGCGAGCTCTTAAAAATTAGTAAGAAAAACAGAAACATAGAAGTAGAATAATGAAGAAAAAGCATGACTGTTTCACAAAATAGAAATGGCCAAACATATGAAACATATGAAAAACTGTTTATCTTAATAGTAATCAAACAAGAGGGGCACCTGGTGGCTCAGTCGGTTAAACATCGACTTCGGCTCAGGTCATGATCTCACGGATCATGGATTCAAGCCCCGCATCGGGCTCTGTGCTAACAGCTCAGAGCCTGGAGCCTGCTTCAGATTCTGTGTCTCCCTCTCCCTCTGCCCTTCCCCTGCTCATGCTCGGTTTCTCTCTCAAAAATAAATAAAACGTTAAAAACAAAAAAATAGTAATCAAACAAGTAATACTAAAACATGCCATTTTTACCAAATTGAAAATTTCAAAAAGTAATAAATACTAGAGAATTGTCTTTAGAGGTATAAAGGATCAACTATTGACAATCTCACATGGTGCAACCTAGTATCTAGGACTGGAGAAGGGAAATCAGTCTTCTCATACAGGATCTATAAAGTGAACTAACCTTTCTGAATCACAATTTGGAAATGAGCTTCAAGTCTTTAAACCATACTTTAGCCTAGTGATTCTGTTTCCAGTAATCTATTCTAAAAGGGACAAATACATACAATGATTTATTTTGCTAAGACTTATTAAAATAGGTACTTGATATTTGTTAAAAATGCTCAATCCAGAGGACTTAAATAAATAAATGATAGCGCATCAAAAGCTAGTTAGACTACCATCCGGCCATCAAAAAGTACATACTCAAACAGTATTTACAGACACGGGGTCATGATTATGTCACAATGTTAGGTAAAAATAACAGAATATAAAGTGAAAAGTACAGTTTGGCAGTTCCTCAAAAAGTTAAACACAGAATCACCACATGACTTAGCAAATTCCACTCCTGGGTATATATCCAAAAGATTTTAAGTCAGGAACTCAAACAGATACTTGTATGCCAATGTTCATGGCAGTATTATTCACAAGAGCCAAAAGGTGGAAATGATGCAAATGCCCATCAACAGCTGAACGGATAAACAAAACGTGGCACATATGTGCACACAATGGAGTATGATTCAGCCACAAAAAGGAATGAAGTTCTGACACCTGCTATGAACGGATGAACCTTGAAAACATTATGTTAAGTGAAATAAGCCAGATATAAAAGGGCAAATATTATATGATTCCACTATTTGAAACATCTAGAACAGGCAAATCATAGACACAGAAAGTAGATTAGAGGTCACCAGCTGTCGAAGGGAGGGGGAATGGGAATGGTTACAGAATTTCTCTTTGGAATGACGAAAAAGTTTTGGAAATAGTGGTGATGGTTGCACAACACTGTGCATGTAAGTACTGAATTGTATACTAAACAATGATTAAGATGGTAAATTTTGGGTCACGTATTTTTTTTTATCTTAACAAAGCAGAGAAGGGGAGCTACTACAGAACGAAAGAGACGTAAGAGACAGAAGACCACATATAGTCTGTGGACCTTATATGGATCCTAATTCAAATAAAACAACTCTAAAAAGGAGAAAAAAGTATGAAATGAAAGGACATTTAAGGACAGAGGATCCTACTCATGTCACAAAGTAAAATTAAAAGAGCACGTAGTGAAATGTACATTATAATCCCAATGAGAGCCCAGACACTCGTCTTTTTTAAAAAGCTCCACAGATACTTCTCATGCGTTGTGCAGATGGAGAACGACCATTCCACTCAGTCCACAGATGCATCAAGCACCGCAAAGAATATGAAGATGTTTAAGACATCTTGTAAAGATGCCTTATATTTTTCCTTACAAGGAAATCTAAAACCTAGTTGAAAAGATAAGATATATTCTTGTTTGGTTTTTTTGGGGGGGAGGGGGGCAAAGAGCTATCTATTCAAGGATTCACTCTACCTGAGCTCAGAGGGAGCCATTGCCACAGACAGGGACATTCAGGGAAAGCTTCCTAGAGGATGCGGGACTTCGGTGGGGTCTTTGAGGATGGGAATATAGTAAATTGGTGGAGATGAGAAAACCCATGACAAGTTTGTCAGATGTGCAGATCAGTCTAAAGGATGTATGAGATCTGCGTAAGGAATTACTAGATCCTAAGTTTGGGGCTACTCTCTGGAAGGCGCCTAAATTAGACCTGACCTCTGAGGTGATGGTGGAGACAACTTTAGTTTTTGGGCATCTGGTAACACGTTCGAAGCAATGCTGTGAGATAAACCTGGTGGCAGCAACGTTTAAGACAGATCTGAGGGGAGAAAGCGAGGAAGCGAGGAGGGATGAACCAGGAGGTCACTGCGAGCCAAGCATGAGATGACAAGGATGAGGGTGCTGGCGGTGCCAGAGAAATGAAAGGTGACCTGAAGGAAGGGTGGGCTGAGTGCCCCCTAGGGATGAGACTGGAGAAGACAAGGCCCACAGCTGGTGAGGTCCCAGGTCTGGGTAAAAGAAGAATGACAGACAGGACTGATGAAAAGAATGAAGTCTAGAACGCAGACATGGTTCTCTCCAACTCCTCTCTGCTTGGTACTGACAGAAGACTGACTGGAAAGTGTTTTGATGAGCAGCTCCACTTTAGACACTTTGTACTTGAAATGACAGGAGGATATCAGCAATTTCAGATTAATACTCAGTAGGTAACTAGTCTGAGTGTTTAAGATGGGACCAGGGACACAGAGTGGAGGGTAATCAACCAGGAGGTGACAGCTAAAACCGTGAGTGGGGTTAGGACTTCTGTGGGAGACAGGCAGAGAGGAGAGAGAACCTAAGTGGAACCTCAGAGCATGTTGTTACTTAAGACACAAAGGAAACCAGAAGTCCCAAGAGGCAGAGGAATATCAAGAATTCAGGAGAAAACCAGACTGGTGTGGCCTATGGAAGGAAAGAGAAGAGGGAACAAAAAGTGAGTGGTCAGTAGGTACAAATACCCCAGAAAGATGAAGGAAAACAAAGAGCAAGGAAAGGCTACAGTAAACTTAGGAGGGACAGGCTGTCCGCACACATCTGTGGGCTCAAGGAAAAGGGCCCATGGAAGGGGAAAGGTTGAAAAAGGCTCAGAGAGAACAGATAGAGGGGCGTGGTCCCACCAGAGGGAAAACAGGGTCCAAGTTGGGGCTTAGCTTGGAGAAGGAGGGAGCCTGGCAATCTAGATATGCAGTAAGTGTTTCTGGAAAGAAAAACATTAGGATGGGTATGGATAGAAGGTCTTTCATAGGGTACATACCCGAACTGTCAATTTCAATTTCATACTAAAGGGAACTAGTGTGAATAACTTGAATACAAACACAGATAATCTCCAAATTCTATCTTAAGAAATTTCAACATATTTTTAAAAAAGCTAATGAAGGTTAAAAAAAAAAAACAACCCTGACATTTGAATTTCTCAAACATCGAGGTGGTAGGAAGGTGGAGCAGAAAGAAAATAGACTTGTAGCCGGATGGGTTTCAGTCTAGCTCTGCCGCTTAAAATCTGGCCTTAGGCAGGTCCCAACCTGTCCCAACAGGTGTCACTCCCAGCTCCACCTGTCCCATAGGCCGTTAAGAGTGTCAGGAGAACAAACGGAGGTAAAAATGCGCTGAAATGCTGCAAGAATGTCAGTATTCATTCGTTTAAACAGCACTCAAAAAACAATTTGGGGGCATTTATGGTGTTCAGGCAGGCATGTACTAACAAGCACCAACAAGAAAATGAAACTGAGCCCTTGCTTCTAGCATGCTGCAGGAGAAAGATGACGAAGAGGCCGCTTTCGGGGATTAAGTGATCAAACGGCATGTAAAGCAGGGAGAAAGGGTCCTTTTAGTAGATGAGATTTGGCTGTTTTTTTTAAAAACGGTACCAGAGCCAGGAAAAATACCTCTGATGCCTCGGTTCACATAAAGCCCTAGGGGTTTATGCGAACACTCACCTCAGCTATCAACAGCAAAGTGTCTTCTTTGAAGCCGAACTCTTTCATTTTATCTGCAATTTCCTGCTGAGTCCTTAAATTCCTCTCCAAAGCAAACGAGGTTTGCTGAGACTGGGTGAGCTGAAGCAAAAGCCTGAAAAACAGAAGTCCCAACGTGTGGGCACAGGTAAGGGAAAGCAGTGAGGGAATGTTCCCAGAGAGCACAGGCATGCTGCCGGATGGGAGTCCTACCAGGCTTGGAATGCACTCGCCTTCATTTGAATCCCTAAAGCTTCTTACTTGAGCAAACTGCCTTGGAGAGTCATCTTTTCTAAAATTCACAGACTAAAGCTTCTCAAAGAAATCTTTAGAAAGCAAAACCTCAAAGGGCTTCCTGTAGGAGTCAAGTGATTGAAAGCACAAACAATTTGGAGTGAAAAGGACAAGCTTCCCAATCAAAGGCTCCTCCCCACAAAGTGCTGGGATGTGTTCCTTTGAAGTCAGTGTTCTGTGACCCTTCAATCTCCCAGAACCCACAGCAACTTGACCTCAAGAACTAATTAGATTCTCCAGTGTACTTCAATTACCCAAAGCAGGGTCAAATCTCTGATGAGCCTCTGGTGACCACTTTGCAACTGTCTCACTGCTAACTTTCCCATCATGATCATAACCTGGTCTTCTCTTTCCTCCTCCCTCCTGTCCTTTCACGTGGCCCCTTCTCTTCATTGTTTTTTTATTATTTATTTATTTATTTATTTATTTAAAATTTTTTAGACAACATATCTCCTCTTCTTTAAAAAATTGCTTTTATGTTTATTACTTATTTTGAGAGAAAGAGAGCACAAGCAGGGGAGGAGCAGAGAGAGACAGAGAGAGAGAGAGAAAGAGACAGAATCCCAAGCAGGTTCTACACTGTCAGCACAGAGCCTAAAGCAGAGCCTGATCTCACGAACTGAGAGATCATGACCTGAGCCAAAATCAAGAGCTAGGCTCCACTGAGCCACCCAGGCGCCCCACTTCATTGTTTTTTTTAAATATTGAATGTGTAGACTTTTCCAGTTCCCCTCAAGCCTGACTGGTCCCTACTGCTATTCCCAGAAGCATTCAGCTCTCCTGTTTGTTCATTTCATGTCTTAAAGAATGGACCGCTCACTACTCTAAGCATTAGGAGAAACTGGTGAGCGCAACAGACGGACAGGTGCCCGTTCCATGGAATGGAAGACGAGAGATCACAAATAAATAAGACGATTTTAGGCAGTGAAGGAAGGCTTTTCTGAGTTACCACTCAAGCTAAGACCCAAATAATGAGCCAGCCACAAGAGTATCTGGGGGAAGGAGCCCTGACACATGCATTAGCTTGACATGTTTGAAAACCTTGGAGATCACCGTGGCTAGACCAGAGAGAAGAAAACTAGTGAATGAGGAGAAGAAAGGCAAGGCCAATTCCATAACATTTCGCAGCCCGTGGAAAGCACCACAGCATTTACGTAGGTGCAGCAGGAGAGTGTGGTGAAGAGCATGCCTTGACCGACATTCCCCTGACTCACTCAAACCTGCTTACGGTACCAACTGGCCTCTGGAAGCATGGACATTTGTGACTCCTTTGATCTCTTATGTACTTGCTTTCTCCCTCTTGCGCCTGAAAGTACTCGAAAACACAACTTACGTTCGCTCCTTCGTGTCATGTTTGTTTAGCCCTCTGCCATCTGCCTTGTCACCCATCACTACTGAAGCTGCCTTCTCAAAGGCCACAAATGACCTCCTCAGTGTCAAATCTCCTCAGAGGCGTTCAGACCTGACTCCTCACCATCATCCGGTTGCTAATCTCCTTCATCTCTAGCTCCCTTCTTCTGAGCTCAACTCCTCCTGGTGAAAAGCTCCAGTTGGGTGTCCTACGGGCACCTGAATCTCAGCACATTAAACCAAAATCTTAATTCCACCCTCAGTCTGCTCTGCTCTTCCTCCTGTGTGTTATGTCTCAGCAGAAGGTGCCACCACCTACCCACTACCCGAGGTAGAGTCTTGACTCGTCTTGGACTCCTCCGCTCCCCTCTTCCCTCCCTGTCTTTCCCACAGCCTCAGCTGGTCCCCAAGTCCTGTCTATTCCTTCCTGCAGTGATGCTCATTTCCTCTTCTTACCACTGCACTGTCCCAGGTCAGGTCCTCACTGCCACCCACTGATGACGCCACAGCTCCTTCATGGCATCCCAGGATCCCAACTCCTTCTTCTAATACATCCTCCAGCCACCAGATTCGCTCTTGAAATCACAGCTCTTGTCACACCACGTGGGACATTTAAAACTTTCAAATACTACTCAGGCCTTCAGCTTAAGAACCAAATTCTTTAAGATGACATTTAACATCTTATGCCAGTAGAAGTACAACCTTTACCAAATGCTCACCACACAGTGTGCACTATACCAAGTCCTTCAGACACTCACTTCTCACAACGAAGAAGGCATTTCCCCATTTCTCCACGAAGGTGAAGATGAAGAAACCGGAGGTTCGAGAGTTTAATTTGTGCGAGGTCAGACAGCTAACAAGTAGAGGAGTCCAGATTCGTTCACTCAGTAACAATTTATTAGGTCCTTACAATGAGCTCTGCCCCCAACCCCCCCCCTCCTCCTCCTCCTCCTCCTCACTATGCCATCCCGGGCTCCCGGTCTCCAACCTGCCTCTCTGGCTCCACCATCAATGCTCTGTCACCACAGCAGACCGCGTGACCACACTGTGCCACACAGTGCTTCCACCCCATGGACCCCCCCCTTTCTTTCTCTTTACCCAGCGTGCCTCTTCTCAGCTGGGGAATATTGCACGGAGTCGGCAAGATACCCTGGAAAGAACACAAGCTCTGGGGTCAGAGGCCTGGGTCAAGGTCACGGCAGCACTTCATAGCTGTGCCACTCTGGGCAGAATTCTACGTTAGTCTCCTAGTCTCCAGGGTGGGAATCCAACACCCGCCCTGGGCAGTGGTGCGCACGGACGGGAAACGGCGTATGCGAACCACATGGTACCCATTTCTCTGTACAGCTGACCGAGGTGCCCAGAAACATTCAGCAGAGGCGTCACTGCCCCTGCAAAGGCTTCCTTCTTCCTGCTACACCGAACTGCTCCCGTCGCTGGCCCGCGAGGTTCTGCTCACACTACTGACACCCCGTCAGCGCCTGTGCCACCTGTCACTGACGATACAGTGTTTCCCTCAGCACAGCACACAGCGAGTGGTGGAAAGAAAGGGCCTCTTTCTTTAACAATCTTTAGGAGCCCAGACTCAGGCAGGTGCCTGGCACACCACTGCCATGCAATGCACTTCTGAATTAAAAGTAACATAGTCAAGACTATAAATCTGCTGAATAAAGTTTAAAATCTGCCAAACAGATACACTTCTCAGTAAGCCTCACTGTTAATCAGTATTTCTTGAATTCTCCAGAGTTAAAAATAACAACAACAACCACACCACTCTGTTTTTTGGCACCGTTTGAGACTTCAGCAAATCTGTTTCTCTCATAAATTACAGAATTGGTAAAGTGTATGCTCCCCTTTCCCTTAAACTCTTATTACTATGGATTTAAAGTGTTCAGAGTACCTAAACCATGGGAATTCTCTGTAGAATGAGTTACATATTGTTTATTCATATCATTAATAGTGATTCAAACACAAGAGCAGATTTTTTTGTCTGCAGATTTCTGTGGAACCTACCGGTGAAAAATTCCTGGTTTAAAATACCTCTTTCCCTTTGTCAATGTTTTATACATTTAATTTTCTTTTCTTAATTTTACTGTTTTATAGCTTTCACATTTTATCTTGAGTAATGATACAAATCATATTCTCGAGCAAATATAGGTTTGTATCTAAATCTTACATACTAAAAGGACAAGTTCAAAAGATTCACCTAGACTATAGGAAAAAAATCTCAAAAATCTACCAAATGCCCCGCCTAGAACTTTCTGAAGCTTAAAATTAAAAAAATAATACCTTTACTCTAGGCTTAGTACCATGTGGTGTTTAATCTATTCTTCATTTACCTGGTTCGTATAAAGGAGGCACACGCTTTCATCTGAGTCTCTAGCAACACTGCTTCTCTCTTTTCTGCCACACAGTTCTGAATATTTTTCATAGCTTTCTCATTCTTCTGGTTATTACTGCTGCTTGCTTCCACAGAAAACACAGGGCTCTCAGGCAACGTTTCAGGAAAACACAAAAGACAGTCTTTTCCTGAGTGTGTAAAGGAGGATTTGATGGTTTTGTCACTGGAGGTAAAACTGTTCTGTTTTTGAGATGACGCACACAATGTTGACAGAGCTGGCCCCAGACTCAGGTAAGCCTCCGCCAATTTGCCCCAGTTCCAAGGATCAAAAGGATGCAAAGAAATCAGTTTCTGTAGGCAGAGGATTGTTTTCTCCAAGTTCTGCAGACTTGAACAAATAGCAAATTGGAGGTAGAGCACAGTGGTTAAATGGTCTGTATTAGTTGCTTTATTTTCCTAGGGAGAAAAAAAAAGTTAAAAACTTTATTATTTTTTTAACATTCTATTTTTAAGTAATCTCTACACCCCATGTGAGGCCCGAACCACAAGCTCCACTGACTGAGCCAGCCAGGTGCCCCCAAAGTTAAAAACTTGAAACAGCAGAATCTTTTCCATGTGAAAATGGAGATGCCTAAAAACCCAAGTTGCATATGTTGTAAATCAGAATTATCTTTCAGCAGCTACAGAAGGAGAGAGAACGAAGTTTGAAGTTGTAAACGTAGAGAAACATATACTACCTACCAATAACCATGAGAAATTCCCAAACATTCTTGTCATAACCATAACGTAATTCCCGGGACAATGTCCTGACAAAATTCAGCATCAAAAACATAAATGTCAGTTTATCTTCCAGTTTTATTGTAATCTTTATTGTCTTCAGCCAGGTAGCTGAAAGACCCAAGCCAACTTTTTTGTACCCTGGGCTAATGGTTCCATTTTAATATTCCAGGCTTTCTAAAACTCCAAATGGTAATTTCCTTGAGGATTCGAATGGATTCCATTTCCAAATCTGACTTGGCTTAGACATCTTAAACAGGATAGCCCTGAAGCTCTCAGTGCTTCATGATGCGTCATAATTGAATCCAAATGCCGTCCCTGGTAACTATTACGAAGGTCAATTATTTTTGGCCAGAAGGGGTTGCTTGGTTTCCTTCTGATCAGAAAATCCTTTTCAAGTCTCTTTAACCAGAGTTACTACCTCTTGCCTAACATGCCATATGGCAAAAGCCCTGTGGGTTAGGGAAAACAGGCTTCTTTTTCTAAGTTAAAGTCTATAAAGAGCAGATGGCAGACTAAAATTACCTTTCAGTTAACTTTAAGTCTAAAGAAAACCTGGTCCTACTAGCCTCCGGATCAAGCTCCTGCAAAGAATTACACTGAGCAAGAAATACAAGTAAAACTACCCAGTATGCAGACTGAAGAAACAGGCCAGAGAGGGAAAGCTTCGGGAGGATTCCAAATATTTACACATTATGTGAGAATATAGAAAATAAAGCTCCATGCAACCTATTTAGTGATACTGCACCTTCTCGATGACAGAATACATCTGGTTTTATTACCATTGTTTAGTATTCTGTCCTTCCTAAACATTAGGTTCCATTTTTTTTTTCACTTTTTAAAACTCATCTATTTCAACCTTAGTCCTGACCACACATAAAATTCTTTCCTAAAGTTTTCCTTCAGAAACTTCTACAATTTTCTTTGCCTTTTTTACTGTAAGCTTTATTTTAATTCCAGTTGGTTAACATACAGTGTTGTATTAGTTTCAGGAGTACATCACCCTGTGCTCATCACAAGTGCATTCCTTAATCCCCTTCATCTATCTCACCCATCGCCCACCCCTCCCCGATGATAACTATCAGATTGTTCTCTATAATTAAGAGTCTGGTTTTTGTTTTGACTCTTTTTTTTCTCTCCCAAAAGGTTTTAGTGTTCAATGCTGAATTCCTAACAGAGAACATAGCACCTCGGAACTAACAGATGTTTAACTAAGTAATACGTCTTCATGTCTTCTATGTATAAGGAGAGCAAGAGACTTTAAGAGAAGCTACTTTTCTTCTACAAGTAGTCTAAGTGCTTTATGCTGTTTAATAACATTTCATATTAAGAATGTATGTTGGGGGCGCCTGGGTGGCGCAGTCGGTTAAGCGTCCGACTTCAGCCAGGTCACGATCTCGCGGTCCGGGAGTTCGAGCCCCACGTCGGGCTCTGGGCTGATGGCTCAGAGCCTGGAGCCTGTTTCCGATTCTGTGTCTCCCTCTCTCTCTGCCCCTCCCCCGTTCATGCTCTGTCTCTCTCTGTCCCAAAAATAAATAAATGTTGAAAAAAAAA